TTACAATAAGGTACAAACTTTTGCTAACAGGAAGGGCCAGAAATATGTTCAAATGAAACATAGTCACTACACTGTGTATTTGTTGTCTTTGAAGAATAATTTTTTTAAATGATGCCATCTGGATTATCCCGGGGAAGAAGGAAAATGCATCACAATGGAACTTCATACTGATTCTGCTATCCTGATAGTTTTGCTTTAAAAATCCAAAATGAAATTATGGCATGATGCTTTCAAAAGAACAAATATGTCAAAGACTGCCCAGAAAGAGAAGTTACTCTTGGGATGAAGTGCATTAAAAACCAGTGCCAGAAGTTTAACATTTACCATGAGCACCTCTGTAATTGAAGAGCCATGAAAAGTTATGGTGCTATAGATATGTTTATTATTAATCATAATTCAAGAGGAACAAGTTGTTTAATACTGAACTAAAAAGAGACTATTAAAATTATGTTTAAAGTCAACACTTCAATGGTGTTTTCTTATAAGATATTCTCTTAATATACTATATACTTGTATACTAAATGTGTGTATGGTGATGCACAGAGCAAATAAAGATTGAGTCCCTTCCTGAACAGCTTCCTTACTGAGGCCCCGATTCTGCAGTTTGTTGCCTGAGATGAACTGCTGCATCCAGGCAAAGCCCCATGAAGCAGCCCACCTGCAGGTAGTGAATTGCAGGTGGAGCTTTAGTTAAGAAGACCAGGAGAAAATTGCTATGCCAGGGGATGGGGACAAGCTGAGTTTGAGCACAGTAGGATTATGTGGTCACATAAGAAGCTAGCATGTATATACAGATAGATGAACTTTTATTTAGTTAAATTTGGTTAAATTGATTTCAGCATAGCTTATAAGCAACCTTGAAGGAATAGGTTATAAGACGGCACTTAAAGGAAAGGAGGAGGTTAAGTGGAGGTGGAAGGAAGTCTGGAAATGGGCCTGGAAGAAGAACATAAAGGAAGCATTAAGAGAAGTGATTTTCCCTGTTTTTTCAGTTTGTAACATGATGTCTCTTTTTAAGTGGCTGGTCCCCACAGATGATAAGAGCCTCTGGTTATTGTTACTACTGTAGATCAAGTGGTAGAGTCCTGTGGTTTGCTTTTGCTTCAATTCTTGCTGATAACCATGGCGGAGATTGTTACATTCAGACTCTGTCTATGAATTGGTTAATCATGGGTTCCCCAGATTTGTTTTTTGTTCAAAATTGTCTGACAAATAGTTTGCACAAATAGATTCGGGCCTATGCACTCACAAACTTTTCATAAAGTCCCAATTTTTGATCCCTGATTAGATGACCTAAAGTGAGTAATTCTGAGGTGAATGTTTGTGCATGGTTACAAATGAAAGTTTCCTCCCTGCAGTGTTCATGTAAACAAGAGATTTGCATGAGTGTTCATGGATGAACAAACATGGTCAGATCAAGTCACAATTTGGATGTGAACACCAACAAGATGCCTGCGAAAGAACCTGCAAAGAATCCTAAGGACCTGACTGCTTGATTCAGTCTTCTTGCTGGCTTTGACCCGTTATCCAATCCTGATGCTGTTCGGAAAACAGATAAAGAATATAATTCAAATGTACTACTTTGATGCAAATATTTTTTAAAAGGTTGATAGTCATAAGAATGGAATGTACCTAATACTTAACACATACTGTAACTGGAGAATCTTTCCAGGGCTGGAGGCTTCTTGGGCATATATTAGCATCATGCTTTTTCTATTGAAATATGAAGTATATTTAGCTTTTTTCAAATGAGTAATGTTGACAAAAACTTTAAACTACAGACCTTGGAATTAGCATCCAAGAATTTGTTTTATATAAAACAAACAGAAGGATTTGCAAGGTCTACCCAGCTTTTCTCAACACTGTAACATAACGTTAAGTCAACTGAGGTATTCTCATTTTAACAGATCTCTGTGTATTGTTCTATGTTTAGCACATTGTAGTCCAGTGATTATTTCAAAGAGGGAGATTCAATTCTACCTTAAATCAAT